AGTTTCACAATAGACGTTTATACACCATTCGATAGAGAATTTCAAGAGCTACATTTTGCACTATTTGTATTTCAAGATAGATAAAATCGACTTTTTGGCCTAATGTCCGCTTAGTTGCCCACTGTGCGAATGTGTGCGTATCTTGTCGTATAGCTATTAGATAAAGAAGATGCGTTATACGCTAAAGCTCTAGTATTAAAATGAATTGGATTTTGTTTAGAAAGTGCTCTAAAGTTTCCCTACTAATACAGTACTTTGTATGTTCGAACAATACTCAGTACAATACCTGGAGAAGTTTTACATTATCAGCACTCAGTGCCACTATTGGATATTGTACCAGCACTAATTGAAGATTGAATTAATCATAAAAAGAAAAACATAACTATTCTAAACTTGAGTTGAGAAATACCCAAGTTTCATACATTTCGGACACTTTACTATAGCTACAAGAATTTCAGACTTTAACAACCACCTTGCTATCAAAAAAATATCATATGAATAAAAAAATTCGCTATTTCACAACACGAGAGAATATCGCTCTCTGTTACTATAGAATTTATGCAAAGAAGAAGCTCAGGAAGATAACAAGAATTTTACTCTGCTATATGAGAATTTTGGTCACGTTTTAGAGTGGCCAGAGAACGTTTAGATCTAAATCCAGAGCCAACTTTTGTTATCTGGAACGATCGCTGATATTAGTTAGTCTTTTCTGATAAATTTAGGCAAAAATGTAGGCTACTCATGTTAAACAACTGCACAAATACTTTACAAATCACAAACAATCACAGACGATATTGCACTTTAAGTATAAAAACGATTTGACGCAGGTCATATGACTCAAATAAACCATGATCATTATGTTTCATCTATCCTTTCATTATATAAACAATATACATATCTCAACTTAATCAAAACTACTGATGTGTAAATACTTCGTAGTGAAGGAAAAATTGACTGTCGGATAATACAAAACTTAACAAAAACAACATGAAAATACTCATTTCAGTCGTGTTAGTTTTCACACTAATCTACAATTCCAGTTCCGATCAAAATTATCAGAAATTCGCCGTAAGTCTATTAAATTTACTTGATCCACCAAATAGTTCATCAATATGGTCACCAACAAGTATTGGTCTAGCATTGAGCATGTGTGCAGCAGGTGCCAAAGTAAATACTCTCAATCAATTGCTTTTGGCTCTCGATGCTACGACAATCGGCCAATTGAACACTGACTCTAAGAAGATCATTAATAATGTGATTGGAAAGCTCTCAGAAAACCAAGTGATTGTAGCCGATCGTCTATATGTTCAAAATAAATATCAACTCTATCAGAATTATAAACATGATCTAAATACGTTCTACAACGCCACTATTGTTCCAATAGATTTTTCTAAGCAAATTGCTGCCGCCAATACGATTAATAAATGGGTTTCACAAGAAACAAAAAATTTGATCAAAAACATTATTTTACCTACTGATGTTAACTCGCTTACTCGTCTAGTTCTTATCAACTGTCTTTACTTTAAAGCTCAATGGCTCAAACCATTTAAAAAAGGTTCAACAGATACAAAACCATTTCAAATAACCACCACAAATACTGTCAATGTTCAAATGATGCATACTACCAGTGAGTCTTTCTCCTATATAAATGCAACCGATAGTATTAAGGCACAAATCGTTGAAATTCCATTCAATACTACAAACAACAATAAAAATCTTCAGCTTGTATTTAATGTTATTCTACCAAATGAAGGTGTCACACTGGCAGCTGTTCAGAAACAACTCACTGCAAACATATTGAAAACTCTTTTAAACTCTGTTAAAGGAGCATTTATTGAATTATCATTACCAAAATTTAAAACTGAATCAACATTTGATCTGAAGAAGCCACTTCAAACTGTTAATGTAATTGATGTTTTTAATGTGAATAAAGCCAATCTAACAGGTATTAGTCCAAGTCAACCACCTCCTCTTTACGTTACGAAGGTAATTCATAAGGCATTTATCGATGTCGACGAAAATGGGGTGACGGCAGCAGCCGTAACTGCAGTTAGTATTAGTACAACAGCTATACCTACTGGAATAATAGTGTTCAATTGTAATCGACCATTTTTATATTTAATTCGAGAAAAAACTAGTGGACTCGTTTTGTTTGTTGGAACTTATTATGGAAAATAACCTGTTATCATTGTTAACCAATCATTTCTTCAAAATATTTTTTGAAGGCACAATATCATCTTACCTTTTTTCGATAATCTAGCAATATTAGGAACAAAGAGTTTGAATTGTCTCCAAATGAAATGTGACCATTGTATGTAGCAACTGTGTTATTTGAAGAATATAACTGAAAGTTTCCAGTTGTGTAATCAATATGATCATACATTTCATGAGCCAACAAAAACGTGAATTACGTTTATGTGCTTTTTGAGTAGAACACTCTAAGTTAGATGAAATGTGCAAAGGATTCTGCCGGATTTAAAAATGCAAAAGTATCAAAAAGCTCAATAGCCGGTTCGATAGAGAATTTTATTGTGCATCTAACCATATATAGTTTTTGGTTTGAAACTATGATTGTTTCACAAAAAATAACTTTTTAAAAGGTTTAACCATTTACTGACATGCGACAAAAAAAGTTGGCACATGTCGTTTTTAAAAGTATGGACAACTGTGTTAATAGTATCGTATTACACTCATCGTAATTGACTGCATAGTTGGTGCACACATTGAAGGGAAAGATATTCTTCAGGCCCTTTCATAAATAGTGGCGGTGGTCGCCAGCAGATAGGATGGGTATTTCGTACTAACTTCATCAACTGCAGAAATAGCAATATGGTGACTAAAAGTAGATGTACCATGTGTCCTGACTGCAATTTCAATCAACCGGATAAATCATCGCGGATAATGTTCTTTAGTACGTTAACATTGAATTAGCCAAATATACACAATCTTATTTTATGTTTGTAGCTATTTTTTTAGTGTCCAAATGGGACATACATCATGTGGCCTTAACCTTATCTACAAATGAAAGATCTTAGCTAAGATATAATCTATATTCATCAGAAAATACCCCAAAAAGTTTATTTCACAACTGGGTAAATTCATTGTTTGATATCTCATTGCTAATATCTGTATTTTCGTACAATGCGTTTTTTTTGTTCGTTTTTGACTCAGTTGTGCTTAGTTTTTTTCTTAATTTTGAATAAGCTATACTTTCTTTGCAAATTTCCCAGCCAACTTTTGGTATGTGCAAGGCTTTTTTACTAATATTCGCTTTTGTAGTTAGAGGATTTGTTAAATTATTAAGAGACCTTTCAATTTGCTGTTCTTCAATATTTTTTAAATCGCACAATATATTTGAATTTGGTAATTTATTTATACTTCGATAATATAAGTCTGTAGGCTTGTTTTGAGAAGCCAGTGATGAATTTTGTTTACAGATATTGACGATGATCATTTTTGGTTTTGGGCCATAATGCAGAAGAATATCGCCAACAGAGATTGTTTGATATTGAGTAGATGAGATTAATTCAGCGGTCGGATGTTGAGCGGTAGTTAGCATTCTATAAAAACAGATATGAAGGGACTTTTTCATTTAAATGGACGAAACAAAAAAGTGGAATTGACGTTATTGATGAGTTAGAATATCAGTGTAAAGGAAATCTTAGTAAGTTTTCACTCTCTAAAAATAATGAAAAGACACTACTTTTCATTCGCTTGATAAAGAAAGACTGTTTAGATTTGTTTCGTACATTTCATAGACAAATAGTGAGTTAGCTCATCAAAGTTGCTTGTTTCATCACACTGATCATAAGAGGATCAGATAAACTTTTTGCCAAAAATCATTACTTTAATTACATAATACCAACTTTTCAATGGTAACACGGACACTAATCTCAAAAGCAAAAGAAAAAATTAGATAAATACCTGATCTATTTGTTCTGAGAAATAAATTCTGGCTTATAGCGATACTTTTTTTTAAATTTAATAATCAAAATGAAGCAACTGACTGAAAGTTCAAATAAAAACCTGTCACTTCTTTTCCCTTCCATTTTACCGTTAAGCCCATTTTTTTTATGAGGTCATTTTTTGTGTTGTGTGTTCGCCTACCTTGAATTGACGCATGTGTATATCGTTACAACCCTTTTCATATAATCGATAAAACAAATGCGTAACCTCTTCTCTGTTCTTTTCTTTGTAAATGACTAATAACTCGGTTTGAAAAGTGGAGGGCGGGTAAGATTACAATTCTAACGCATTTAATTCTTTTTATCAGAAACGTGTCAGAAAACTATTTTATAGTTTTCAAAGCAAACATGCTTTCTGAGCTCCGTATGGACATGGTTTTGTATAGAAACTTTTTTCCATTCAAAAAGTACTTTTGTAGAAGGATTTCAGGGTGTGGGCATCCTAGAAAATCAGGATTTCATACGATCTCAAACGATCGTGCATTTCCTTTATTTCTTGTTCATTACTTATTTACTGTTCCTAATCAATCATACTTGCAAAAACGAGAAGATCTAGAATGCAATTGTGCGGCGCACAAATTGCGATGTCGACAGACATTGGTTATATTAACAGAGACAGCAAGATCATTAAAAAATTGAAAAACTTTATTCTTCTCGATGATTTATAGTAGTAATAAAGTTTTATATTAGTTATCATTTAAAAGAAATTAGTATATCTTTTATTAGATGCATGTATGTGAAAAAAAATTCACTAATTAGAAGATATGTACACAAATTCATTTCTCAAAATGGCGCCCGGTAACTAGAAATATATTAAAAATTTCGAAGTCCAAGATACAGTTTTCTTTCATGTGTGAAACTCATCGCGCCGAATCTGGACTTCTGTTTAAGCAAAAAGCGTGAAATGGTTTACATTCAGTACCAAGAGAGCTATCTCCCATTCTCAGAATGTCTCTACGTCACGTTACGTAGTTCTCTGAATCATTTGACTCACTTTTTGCAAAAACGATGACTAAACAAGAAAAAAAGCCCTGAACTGATGGATAATGTCTATCGGCATAATAATCACTCAAACAAAAAACATAAGAATTGAGAAGGCAAGAGTAGTCACAGGATGCACACTAAATTTTTGCGGGGCATACGATTGTCAAGAATCAGAAACAAAAAAGTCTCAGAAAAGAAATCATATCACCGACAAAAAATTAAAGTTCATTTAGAGTTAAAGAAAAGTGCTCTTTCGTATTCAGCACACTTGATAACCTGAAAAATTTTCTATTTTTAGCGAGGGGTACCGCCAAAAAGTTAAGAAAAATTTCAAAATTGTGTAATTTTACCAGGAGGATTTTTCTGCGTCAGTTTATTTGAAAACTTGTCTTAACTTTTTGGCGGTACCCCTCGCTAAAAATAGAAAATTTTTCAGGTTATCAAGTGTGCTGAATACGAAAAAGCACTTTTCTTTAACTCTAAACAAACTTTAATTTTTTATTATCGGTGTTATGTTGCAACGAACTAGTTTAGCTCGTAAATGAGCAGATGTTTTTGCACGGACCTAATCTTGCTTTTCTGCTGCTCATTTACATCATACCGCATAGGAATGACAAAGAACTATGTTATAAGAGAGATCACCTAAAGCAGCGAACAGAAAAAATGTATTGCATAGGACACAAACTTTATCAGACTAAGACAAGAATGCACCCAAGCAGAAAAAAAATATCGATTATCGGGCGAAAAGCACTCACCAACATTCCGGTTGATACGGTCTTTTCAAACTGGAACGATTTTCGGCTTTCATACAGAACAGCGTTACGGCTATCTAAAAGAAAAAATAAACAAGCGCATTTTTTAAAACAAGAAACCATTAAATAATTCCTCAAGTAATCATGAAATCTTTTAAGATTTAAAAAGGCTTAGTAAGGTTCCTTTTTTTTAGAAAGTACGGGCTCTTACTGACATATAAGATAAATGATGGAGTTCCACAAAACTATGTTGTGAGATATGGTTACGACATATTTGTGATAAAAAGAATTAAATGTGTTGGAATTCTACTTGCAATTGTTCCATTTGACAAGAACTATTAACTGTATCATTGAGAGTCAAAGAACTGTGTATAGGTTAAAAAGAATTTGCATGAATATACAATAACGTATATTTAGCGTATCTAAATATTGATTTAAGAGTAAAAACAAAATATCTACAGGATATTATCACTTATATATTCAAAAAATCCGAATAACCTGACGTATTACTTCTTTATTAAAAGGAAAGAAATATGGCATTACTGTGGTACAGGTATCTTTTCACGCGTGCATTTCACTTGCACATGACCTAAAAATCAATACTCCATTAGAAAATAGAAGATATCAAATTTCACATTTATAAATAGTTTACGTGCTCGACAAAACAATAACGTGGCATCTAACTTCGCAACAGGAAACCATCGAAGACTAACGCCAATTAACTCAGACCGAGGAAAATTGCAAACTGAAACAATAAGATTTAAAAAAAATGCATGGTATAATATAACGTCTAATCTCTGAATTCTAAACTGTAAATCTTTGAAAGTACACTGTAATCTTGTATTAATTTCCAATTTATAGAAAATCGACCGAAAAATCTTCGGGCATTTTCAAGTTTATAGAAATTCCTTGACGAATTCCCAGCTTTCTAGAAAATGTTAATTTTCTACTTTATAGAAAATCGACTTGATTTTCTATAAAGGTGAAGAATCGTTGAGGATTTTCTATAAACTGGAAAATCGCCGGCGATTTTCTAAAAAGTGGAAATTCGCCCAGGAATTTCTAGACCAAATACTTATTCATCTTTTTGTTTTGCAATCAGTGTAGGTATAAGAGCGTCACGTAAAGACACTCATGCTACCCTTAAATGAGCTTTGACAATTTCTACTTTAGATCACAATTCTGCCTATACCAGCAAGAATTTTGATTTAGGCAAAGACAGTGGTGGCGCGAAGTTTCGGTAGGAACGTCTCACAATCGGAGACGTTCATCAGAAATTTCTCAGAAGCATGAGCGGGATCAACCACCATACACCTGGTCGCGCCGCCACTCTGTGCTGACTAGGGCTGCTGCATTACTATTACTAGTACTAAATAATAACAAAAGCGTTATTACTTATTACTTGGTAATAAGTAATAAATTTCAAAAATAATAAAAGTAATAAATGATAAGGTAATAATTGTTATTATCTTATTACTTGGTAATAAGTAATAACTGTTATTACTTATTACCAGGTAATAAGTATTAACTACAAAAAGTAATAAAAAGTAATAAGAAAATAAAAAGATGATAGAAAATATTTTTAATCATCAATTGGATTTCGGTTCTCACATTGAGACATTAACACAATATCGAAACTTATTTTGGCATCGTGAGTTATTTTTCAATGTTTATGCGGGAGTGATTGGACGGCTATGGTCTCTCGCCAATGAAGATCACTGACTGCTCAACCGGTGCTACTTGATGTGTTAAAGGTTAATTTAGCCTCTTAACGAAGTCGCTTTCATTTTAATTAATAGACACCGGTTTCCGCCTTTGCCAGTTTATAAAATTTTTCACTACCTTTACGCTTGAACCATTTACGTGCATACTGATACTATATTTTCCAGTTTTCGAAAAGAAGAAAATTTGCCTTATAAACTTACTTTAAAATTTGACAACTGAAACTTACAGAATATTGATAATCTATCATGATGACTCGGTCAGAAGTAGTTTCAGATTCTTTGAGATTTCTAGCGAACGTCCATAAAACTCTTTGGATTTGTATTAGGTTGAGCACTTTTTACATTCAATTTGAGAAGTTCGCAGTATTCCTCACCTATGCTGGTTGTGAACGCCGACCAAAGGATCGTGTGAGCGTTGTCTTGGATTCGAAAATATTTCCAGTAATGTGTGAGTCTTTGATGCGCCTCGAAAATCCTTTTAATATTTATATTAGATGACGAATCTTCCACGTCCACATGAAATCAGAGAAGAATCCACAAGATACCGTAGTTAGACTCGCTGGGATTTAAAAGCCACAGAAGAGAGTTCGCTAGCGCATTTATAAGTTCGTAAAGGCAAGTGACGCGTGCAGACGAGCGTTACCTTGTCAAATAAAAGATCTACATCAATATATTAATATATTTTGAGATGGTAAAGGCAAACTCCAATCCAAATAGCTTTTTCATTATCTTCACAGTCGACAAGATAAATAGTCGTTGCGGTAATTAACCGAACTGAAAGCAAGGCAAGAACAGCTACAATATAATAGAAGCCTCTTGTATATGGTTTTCTTCTGGGAGTTCCGCAAATGTTTAACCAATAACTGATATCTTTGTGACAATAACTTAGTTCTTCCACTTATCTAATTCATACCGCATTTATCGTTTTGCTATTACTTTATTACTATAACAACTTATTACTTTATTACTTATTACTTTTATTACTTGAAGCTTTTATTACTTATTACTAAGTAATAACTAATAAATCTGAAAATGATATAAGTAATAAGTAATAAAATAAAAGTTTCAACTTTATCCCTTACTACTAGTACCAAACACTTAAAGTCCGAATAGTATCAAAATGATAAATAATAAAGCAATTAGTGATGAAAAGTAATAAGTAATAAAAGTAATAATAATTATTACTTATTACCGAGTAATAGTAATGTAGCAGTCCTAGTGCGGACCCGCCAAGGAATTTGCAGTTTATAAAAAATCAAAAAGAAATTTCTACTTTCTTGAAAATTATTTATGGAAATTCAACGAAGATTTTCTAGGTTGTTGGGAATTCGATTTTCTATAAACTCGAAAATTCTTAAGAAATTCCTATAGATACTCTTCGAAATTCGCCGAGCATTTTCCATGAATAATTTCCAACCTTACAGTGTATGGTAAGTATGTGTAAATGTAAATTATGACGAGAAAAACAATAAAACAGTTTCCATCTGAAGTGTATGCAAAAAGAAAGATCTATTAAACCTTATAAAATTTAAAAGTATAAGTTTATAAAGAAGAGAGTTTGAGAAACTTGCGTATTAGTATCCTTAAAATTTACAAGTTACCGTTGTATTGGCGAAACGACATAGTTGTTTTTTTACATATCAGCAACAACGCATGACTCAATGAATTTTGAAAACATGATAATAATTTCATTTTTAACCATAAAAGACAATCAGTTAAATGATAAAAACAATTTTATAACTCTCTAACGTTGAGAAATGTTAATGTTACACACTCGAGTCTTATCAAAATGATCGTGAACTCAATAATACACACACGGAAAATGTTAAGACAAATGGGATAACTCTACACACCAGAGGGATTATCTCTTGATGGATCATTGTGGTAGATTTTTATCAACTGTTCTGCATTTGAGATGTACAGATGAAAAATATATTATAACATTTGGTAGATAAACATTTCGGGTATGTTTTGACAGACTAGATTTTTAATAAACATAGCGAAAAATCTAAAATTCTTTGCACTGAAGCCGCCTAAATTTTTTTCAAATTACATCATTCGAAAAAGCAGAAATAACTAAATCTAGTACCAAACGCTACTGGAATGATTTTGCCTTTATTTCTTTTGCTTATACCTTCCACATGAAGCTTAAAAATACAAATCTTGTTAGGCAATAGGTTCTTCTATTTACAAATCAAATTTAATATTCTAAAAGCTGAGCTCCATGATCTGTAGCTCACAGTTTGCCTCCAAGTGAAGTGACTGTTCTTCCTCGAAACGGCGACGTGATCGTTCCTGGGAGGTGCGTGGGAGGTGATAGATATGACTGATATTTCATATCAGTCAAAAGTTAAACCTTTTGGAATATAAAACTTATGATTAACGACTACTGGACAAGAAATCGAATAATATGTCTCTGTCAGGTATTTCTTGTACCTCTCTTTTCCTTATTCAATTTTAGCATGATGAAAAGTTATGTCGACAGACATTATACGTTTTTGCAGGAAATTTTGTTCTTTTTTTTCTTCTTTAGTCACTTTCTCTACAAAATGTGAGCAATGTGATCCAGAGAACGATGCCACGTAGAAACATCCGAAAACGGGAAGATACTGCATATTTTGCTGACCAACATTGTACTAATCTTGTTATACACGTTCTAATCCTGCGAGTTCTACACATGACAATAGTATGATATCAGAGGGAGAAATAAACGAATGAGATTCTGACAATGAGTATTCAGACACCTTTCAATACCAACTCGTCAAAATATGCACCATCAACTGTGAAACTCGTTATCCGTATTACTATCCATTTCAAAATATAAGGCACTCGGATGTTTGTTGAATAACCTCTCAAGAGTAAGAGAACTCAGTCAACATCGATCCAAATTATGTTAGAATATCAAGTTATACTCTACTTTATCTACACTATATCATCAAATTCAATACAGCTTTTAAAAATCAATAGAAACTACTTTGATTTTTGAGAAGGTTTTCTCGAAGTAGTTAGAGAATATTTTTTACTGATCTTAACTATAGAATTATATTAAGCAGGTAAAACAGAGTATATCTTGATATCCTGACATAGTTTGGATCGATTTTGACTGAGTTACAAATCGGGAAACGGACAGTTGCTCGCGAGGACATTTGCTCGCGGACAGATGCTCGCGGACAGTTGCTCGTATGACAAGTTGCTCGCATGGACTGACGCTCGCTAGGACTAATGCTCGCCCGGACAGATCCTCGTCGGACACTTGCTCACCGAATACTTTAAGTAGGAACAATAAGGTAGTTTACGAAATGTATTCAAACTAATTAAAGTATCTGTTAAATGGGAACCTTAGAATCGTTTATAAAATGGGTTCAAACTAATTATTATTTCTTATATTGAATAATTTTTGTACACTTGATGACTGTTCATAAACAATATAATTTTTGCGGAAGTTTGGGAAGAGTATAAATTGCAAAGAATTTTTAGCAAGGTATCATAATCTTTCATTCACTGTTCAAAATGTCTGTCACTGTTTCTAAAACGTCTAAAAATGCTCCATTACTTCTTCACAATGGTTTTTCATATATTGTCGATCGAAAGAATGAAGAAAAGATTTATTGGAAATGTGAATTTCAAAAAAAATGTTCATGTCATGCACGTCTTCATACAGATTTATATAATGTTATCATTAAAGTAGTTGGTGGACACGAAAATCATTCTGGCAATCCACGTTCAGAACCAGTAAGAGGTTGAAGCGTGGCACCGAAAATTAAACTGTGCTTTCCAATGTTATCATCCGACGTTATGGACATTTTTAGGTAAACTGATAAAGGAAGAAAATAATTTACATTCAGATATAGTGAATGCAAAATCTGGCAGTGAACCAACGATCCAGAAACAATATGAATCACTAAATAAGCGTTTACATAGTTTGGTGAAGAACCCTCATCCAACACTTTATGATCAGTTACAAGCTACCGGACGTTTACTGTCGTTATAAATGGTCTTTGCTTTTGTTTCTTGTATACATAACTCTATTTGAATTCGTATGATTATGTGCAGTCTCTTGTTTCAAATTCTTATAAAATTCTCGTACTGGTTCTGAATATCAGTTTTATAAGTCCCTATGAGCAAGTGTCCGATGAGCATCTGTCCAAGCGACCATTAGTCCTAGCGAGCATCAGTCCATGCGAGCAACTTGTCATACGAGCAACTGTCCGCGAGCATCTGTCCGCGAGCAAATGTCCTCGCGAGCAACTGTCCTAAACCCTACAAATCTTCTGATTTTACGTGAAAACAAGCAAAAACGGGATGTTGTATTCAATATATCAATATAGATTTTCAATAGGTTCCTGGAATTTTTTCGACAAAACAGCATTGCCATGTGAGTCAGGAGAGTCGATAACCTATGTCCCATATGTTTTCCAATACATGAAGGTTAGCAAATAGATTGATCTTCGAAAAAAATCTTATAGCGTCCGAACCGTGATAGATGGAGACTTGTAAGTGCATAGAATTAAAGAGAACAATTCTCTGGGTCGAATCCACATCTCAGAATGAAAACTCCAAAGCATTTTTGGTGGTGATCGGACGCTCTAGATTTTTAGTCGAAAGGTACATCGGAGCGAACCTTTGTTTGAAACGCTTTTTCACAGAATCATGTTGCCCTGGTAACCTCTGTCGACTACTGAAAACGACAGATTTCTACTTCTTTCATTTCAAAAGCTATTCAAGAAACATCTGAGCGTCCTATATTTTGAAATGGATAGCAGTAAGATTCTTTTTAAACAAAGAATCAACAATAGTTAACTTAACTTTAATCGATTTATCTTCAAGCTCATCTAGGAATGGTTAGTACTATCATCTACTTGTAGAAATTGCACTGTACTATATGATTATCTGAAACGGCGATTCATTGACATAAACACTGGCAAATCTATTCGTAATTGAATGTGGTCATTCATTTGTTTTAACGCAATCATGTTTAGTAGTTACCTCTGCCCGTGGCCAGATGAGGTGGAAGGACGGAGAGATAGTTAAACTTTCGAATAATGAGAAACGTAACCTCTAGTTCATTTTTCGCAATTCATCTGATTTTTCAGCTTCTCTAAAATTAAAACGGGTTCTGTAGAAAATTAGGAGAATCACGTTAAGCAGTTTGGAGAGAAAAAATTCGATAAAATCAATTTCCCTTTGGAGAAGCTGAAAATCAGATAAACAGCGTAAGATAGGGGCGTGTATAAATCATCTGATTACTTTTTTCGATGCAATTATCTCTTGTCTCCCTGAATGACCAAGTATAATGGTCAAAAGTTCTTTTCTCAATTTTTTCTGATGTAATTTCTGATATCTCTTTGATGTAAGCACGGCGCACTTTATAAATACACAAAGTTTCTAGTAAGATAGGGGACTAGGTAAAATATTGCCCTTTTCCAATCAGACAATGTCTATCACCACATAAAAACGATGAAAAATCACACATTTCTAGCGAGAGTACCATACTGGTAGCTGTGAACAAAACCAGAGTAACTGTTTCATACAACATCAATAGCAGGATGACAGTAAGAAAAAGTAGTAGTGTTCTTCACTCAAATTCTTAACAAAATCTGAGGGTGGGCAGTCAATCGAATAGTGAACAATGGATGCACCTGGTAGTTTGCTCAGTTGTTTCCCTGTGATCGTGTAAGTGGTCAACGAAGGACAGTATGAGATGCTTCAGGAATAGACATTTGTGGATAGGTTACTTACACAGATTAGAAAAAGCTGTTTTTTTTTTTATTCCTTTTATCATTCTCAACCACAAGAAACTTTTTATAATAACTGACTGAAAACAGTGTTTGATCGAGTGGTTATTCAGTTGATCTCCTCTCAACTGATATCGAACGTGATAATTTGCTACACGCTTTTTCTGCTAAAGCTGATCACGTAACTTATGGATATCACCAATGATGTCCTGTATCTCCTCTAGCCATATGTGAGAGGGCCATTGTTATAGGATTTAATATTGATAGTAGAAAGTAATGACCATTTGTATTTCAAAAATTTCATGGAAAAATCCAAAACAATAACGATCAATGCCATCTGAAGTTCGCTACAAGAAAATAACTTTAATTATGTTGTTATTGGGTTTGATATACCGTTTGTTCACAAAGACTGATTTCTACTACTTGTCAGTCACGCCATATCTTTCTTGATGAAATCATATTTATTCTCTGTACATATGTATTTTCGTTTTCTATTTCCTTCGAATGAAATCATTTTGTTTTCGTTTAGTCATAGAAGAAAGGTCTTGTGTTTTTTATTCTTTTTTCTCTGAAAGTTAGTATATATAAATTACTTTATTATTCATATGAAGTTTAGCTATTTAAGTCTCTACGTTTTTTATTAGAATAAAACAAATTTATCTGAACAACATACTGTTACAATAGTGCACTAACCAGGAAATGAATTCGAGCGTTCGCCCGGCATATGAGCATTCTACCACTGAAAAATATTAAACCCCTTTAACAACGGTAATTATAATCTACAAGAGAGAAAGTGAGGTAGAAGTCAGTTGAAATCCAACTTTTTAATCTTAAAGTGAAACTTCTCGTATATTCATATGAATGATAGGTAAGAAGTTGTACAAGAACACTAAGTAGATAACATATAGATTCTTATTTTTTTATGAATGTTCCAGATAATATATATATTATTATAAGAACGAGAACTAAATCTGAATTGCGTTTTTTCTGAAAAATCTTTCTCAAGGAGAGAAAAAGGAAATAAGATTAGAAAAGAACTATAGGGTATCATCTTAAAATTTCTCTTTTTTGATCATGTTAGAATTGTAATTACGTGTAATGGGTTTGAGTTGTTATTACTGTTGTTTTAGAAAAAAATATATTTTCGAAATACAAAAAAAAGAAGATTCTCTGTTTTTTTTGTGTATCCAATTCAACATGTTAAGCTAAAAAATTCAATCTATTAGAATACATAGTTTTCTTTTTTTAGAAAATTTTATATTCATCAATATTACATATAATTAAACATTTTTCCTTCTATTCACACTTGTTTCTACACATGTTTTAAGTCAAGTCTTTCTCATTAACTGTTTTTTATTATATCATGGTGTTTTTTCCAAATACATATTTCTATTGCATGTAGGTTAGATTTCAAAATACTGATTTGTAAATATTATTGATAGACATTTTTTTTGAGAAAAATTATTAATCCTCCAGTACGGTGTAACTAATAAGTATTAGTAATTTTTGTAACTCTATTGCTGTTCTATTAGTAGAATAACTGAAATACTATATAGGTTGTAAAGAAAGTACATAATCGGAGAATTTAGCTGGGAATCTAAAGAAGCGCATGCGAGTCTGTAGAATTTATAGAAAATTTTCTAAAAGGATCTAAGAATTATGAAGTAGATAACAGCAGGATTTCGACATAAACTTCTGGCTCTGAACAGTAAGCTTTTTGTTGTCTTTTACTCTTTGTAGCGTTTGGAGAAAGGAAGATGGGGGAGGATAGAGTAAGGAGAAAATCGACATGTGTTCGTTGAATAATTTACTTTACAAACTAATCGACTCACAAGTAGAGATCTGCACGGACAGCCTACTCACAAGTTGTTTCAAACTCTCAATTTAGGTCAAAAAACCTCTGCTAAACTAACTCTCGCTTCACGACTGTCTAGTACATTAGATAAATCAGGAAACTATAATACAAGTACAGGTAAAGTACGGTTCTCTTCTCATTCAATCTCGCTCGCCTCTCTTTCTCCGAACCTCACAATAAGGAAAAGACAACAAAAAGTTTACTGTTATAGGAGGAGGGGGCTCATTTAGATTTTCTGTAAGATTCCCCAGGTTGTAGAGGATGCTTATATGGTCGGAGTATATAGAGGAAGTATATGGTCTGAAGTTTTTTCGGCTTACTGACTTTATTTGGCTGAGAAAAAAAATTAATTACTGAAAAGAATGATGACTTTATGCTAGTAGAGTAGGCTAAATTCGCGTTAATTAGGTGCTAATTCAAAACCTTCAGACCATAAAGGAAGGAAAGAAACTTTTTAGATATTTCCTCCTAGTAAATATTCTTCATACATTTTTTTATCGATTTACACAAGTTTTTCTGATGAACAGAGAAGAGACAGAAAATTTTTTAATAATACACACACATTTTTAATAATATGCACACAAAAATTTAGTATTTTTTTCAGTAAGTAATTTATTTCTCAACTAAATAAGGTTAGTGAGAGAAAAAACTTCAGACCATATACTTCAAAGTGTCCTATACAAACTGGAAGAGTTTGAGGAAAGTTCCAAAAGTTGAACATATCACTGGTTTTTCGTACGCTAAGATTTTTTCCCACATCTTACGACTAGTTTCGCTCGAACAAAGCATTTTGGACCAAAACTCTGGCACTCTCTTTTGTGAGTATAAAAGTTGCTCAGAATCGAATTCCTGAGTCCCCCTTTTAACACACACGTATAATTAAATTTATGCTCGTGTGAAAACATTTTTCCAGGGTTCAAAATTGAAAAATGCGAAATTTTAAAATTTTGAAAAAAGCTCTCCTGAGGGATTCAGAAATTCGAGTCTGAGCAAATGCTGTACTCAGATTTTTGGCTGTACTCAGATTTTTGGCTGTACTCAGATCGAAAATGCTTGGTTCGAACAACACTAGCCGTCAGGCTTTCTTCAAAATACTTTTAGCTCTGAAATCCCACTGGGAAGGTAAAAGTTAAAATTTCTACGTCAAAACTTCATCATTCATAGTTATTTTGAGTTTTTTTCCTTATAAAATTTAACGTTCTCTATCGAACTACGTCAGAATGAACTCTTCATATCTATAACTGAAGTTTCTAGTGAAATTTTAAAAATAGGGCAAAAACTTCGAAAAAATATTAAAAATTTTTTTATTAAAAAATATCAGTTTACAAGGCGAAAAAATCTTTGAAACATACACTTCGAAGTGTCCTCCACAAGCTGGTAAAAAAAACGGGTGAGAGAAACATTCCCTTAAGAGCCAGAAGTTTATGTCGAAATCATTCTGTTATCTAGTTCGTAATTTCTCTGACCCTGTTGCGAAATTCGTAGAATCATCGACGATTCTATAGATTCTTAGGAGTAGAGATATGCACGGGTACCGTTTTCGTACCCGTATGCGACCCAAACTGAGAACTTCGTATCCGTACCTGACCCGTTCCCAACTTATGCCTAAAAATATTCTTCTTTTCGTTTTCCAGCTAACAGCTTTTGTTTTTCGGCTGGAGATGACAAATTATCATTACGTTCTCAAATAACTATTTTTTAAAACTACATGTATTTTACCTAAAATCTTGTATTTTTCCACTAAAATTTTGTCATTTTCCACTGAAACCTTTCGGTTTTCGGATAAATAAAAAAGAACGAAATCCCTACCCGTACCCAACCTTCGGGTCGGGTTGCACATCTCTACTTTGGAGAATGAATAATTGCCTAATTTTTGAAGATTATAGAATCGCCAAGTATCTACTTTCTCTACAACATATATATGATTGAATAAATTATTCTTCATCACAGTTCACCAGCTAAGTACTAGACAGATAGTTTACATATTATATTGCAGCTTTTACACGATCAGTAATTAAAAGATGTAAACTTTTTACCTGATTCATTAACTCATTGAGATCTGAATTTTTCTCTAAGATAATCTTCTTCATGTGTTTTAGTATAAGATGATGAGAGTGTAGCTATGGTATTGTATGAGTTTCTATGAGAAAACATGATCAAAATACCGTGGATGCATTTTTTGTTCAACAGCACCTGTTCGTTTTCAGGCTCTAGTCGAGATTCCAAATATTCAATCTTCATGAAAATTTATTTAGTTTTTAGTCTTTAGTCTTAAAGCGGCGAGAGTTAATCTTCTATCATTAGTTTTTGGTGCATTCAGATATTATTCTTTCATTTGACAAATAAGTTCTTCGCAGCTTCCTGTGTGTTTTGTAGCTGCTCAAAAACTCGATTATCTAAATAAAATCTGCATCAGTTATTATACAGTCACTCAATGAAATAACTCGAAACTAATAAGCTAAAAGCAAGTAAATTACAAAATCTTATAAAATCTTTTACTCAGCTCAAGTATTACTCTCACTTAAATAAACTTAATTACAGATTACTCCATCCAATAGAACACCCGAAAGCTCTTCTTACTGTCAATACATATATCTCATATAAGAGCTACCCACATGCCACATACAATAAAGTCTCGGCTCGCTACACCCGTCTTCCTATCGCCTCCACAAACCACCGAAGCTTACCACCCGAGAAAACACAATAACCTAAAAACTAAAGACTAAGATTAGCTCTAGTGTTCGATCTAAAACTAAAAACTAACTTACGGAGAATTCCTGCAAAGTAAATTCACAGCATTTTCAGTATATTCATGATGTGTTCCATAAAACGTTCAAAATTTATGGAACCAAATATCCTACCATCCATTTCAAAATATAGGGCAGACACACATAACTGAACGTATTGATTGTACAAAACATGTGTCCTAAATATCTCAATGAGTTAAGCATAGTTTACCGCTTCACTCAACACTGTAGTGTCATTAACCTAATATACAAAGATTCTAATAAGAATCATCTAACACCGAATGGTTGACTCAGGATAAAATCGGATCACATAAGTCATACCATTTTCTCTAAGTAATGTATCTGTCTAGCTTTAATAGAAAAAAGATTTTGTATAGTTATCAATTTTTTTTGTTGTATTTTAGTAGTCGATCAATTATAACCTATCTTCTATTTTCTACACTCTGATACTCCATAGAACTTCGATACCACTGAAAATCGAGATCTTGACAGTCTTTCTTCTCCAAGAACCCCCGTCTGACTATCTACTCATAGTAAGAAACTTCCATGTTGCCGCTTGTAATCAGATTGTTTTTCTTCGAAAATTCTCTTTAAACTTTACTCTCGAAAAGCATTTTGAAAATTGTTTTGCGTATGAAAATATGTGCTTCGGTTCCGTATAACGATTGACAAATATCACAGATTTGTACTTTTTCTTATCGATTGAAATGTTATTCGTAAACAATCGAGTGCATTCTATTCTGAATTTGCTAGTGATAGTATATTGGTTACTCAAGTGTTAGTTAACACTGTAATTTAGTGACATGTTTAGGCGTTAAATAAATTTTTAAAAAATTATCATATCGACAGGGAGGTGAAAACGTCGTTTTTATACTTGTATGAATAAAACGTAGAATCATATTTTTCTGGAAAAAGTGTAGTTTACTAGCTGATATTTCTGAGTAAAAGCGTCAATTATATTTACACTATTTTTTACTCATTGTTCTGTAAACAATGAGGTATTGAATTATACTATTTTTAATCTCAAGTTTGTAATTATTTTGTAGAATGAAAAATTCATACATATTCTTTCTATACATAATAACATTTACAGCATGCGCGATTGCTTCCTATCTCGATATTCCAGACCCACCGCAACGTCCTATTCGATTTAAAACACGGAAGCAAATAGAAGATTATTTGAAAGCTGTTAAAGATTATTATGCTGCATTTAAAATAAAATTGGTTCGTCGTTCTCATTTTTTACCAGATTATTATTCAAACATAGATGGCGGTTTCAACAGCGTGAATCAACCAGAAGAAACGGAAAAACATGCAGGCAGTTCAGACAACATCATTCATTATAGAACATATCAACATCAACAGCCAATTTTATCGAAAATCATTTCATTTCAATTAAATCCATATATATTTTTACGAACAGGAGAAGGTATTAAACCACGACGTTTGCGCAGGCGATCATCCTTATTTTCTGAATAAAAGTATGCCAAACAAAGCTCAAAAATGCTGTTTTTTGTTATATCTACAAGGTTATGGATAATGGATAGAAGCAGAGCGTGACAAGACCTAAATTTTATATCACTGTTTTAGTTTTACTTGTTATTGTTTCTCATGATATTTTACGGAATAATAAAATAAGCAATCAGTCGAGGGCACCAATAACGACATGGATTCATTAGCATTCAAAACAAAACATAAGAGAGGAGAGTTTGTTTTAATAAATAGAATCGCACGTGTTATCATTGAAATTTTAATTTTTTTCATCAACATACAGGCTATCAACAATTTCTTCTAATCTTTCAACATTAGAAAAGTCCACTATCATCAGAAAGTGTACGTACTGGGTTCGATATATAAGACACAGTTAAGTGAAAGGCTTCAATCGATGTAGTGTGAGTTAACTATCGCTAGGGTATCTAAATTCATAACCTAGCTGATTTCTAACTCCAACTCCATGGATGTTGGAAATAACGAAAAAAATTAATATTATGACATAACAACATAATGAATGCCTCTAAAAAGAGATCTTTTAATTAGTTACGTCCTTCAACATTATTTTCAAAATTTTACACTATTTACAATATTTTATGATGAGAAGTAGTTTCAGAGTTAAAGTAGATATTTTGTGCCTTCGCTTTATAACTAGACATTCTTATCTTAGAAATTGATTCTTAGACAGAAAGCAGTCGTAACCGAATGGAGTCGTAAGACGCTTCTAATAAAGAGCTTAGGTCAATAGCATAGTTATTTGGACAGCTTTCGAACTAAAATACTTCTAGAGCTCTGAAACATCTTAAATTGATGAGAAAAGTGTGCTTAATATTTTGAAATGTTTTCAGACTCTACACATGCTTACGAAATATTGCAGAAATACAAACTACTGCTTTTCGGATAAGTTTTGACAAGTAGTAGTTTGTATTTTTGCAATATTTCCTAAGCAAAAGATCGTGTAGAGTGTAGGGATGTTCGGTTCTTGGTTTCAGAACCGAAAATCGCGGTTCGCGAGTTAGAACTGAAACGAAAAGAAGCGCGGTCTCGGTTCCGAACTTAAGACTGAACCGCGATTCTCGGTTCTCAGCTTAGAACCGACGAAGAATTTATTAGACAGTAACAATTCAGAAAGCATTCTTTTAAATGATAACAGGCAAATATATCTTTTTGTAGCCTTGTCAATAGTGCGCATTTAGTATCTCTGAAAATCTTTTATCTAACAGCGGAAACATGAAACGTGACGCAGTAAAATTCTATATGTTTTAAAAGATAAACTATAACATTTTGTATAAACTATAACAACTGCATGCAAGCAACAAGATTATTAATCCTTCGCAGCTTTATTTTTTTGTTAATAGCAGTTCTCTGATAGCTAATACACAAATATAACTTTCAATGGGTAAAAATCTTTAGGACAATGTTCTTCTATCTCATGTAAAAGAAGTTGTGCTCAAGTGTATCTTATGAACGTTAAATGTAGCTTTCTCGAAATAAAACTGTACTATCTGTGGTTAAAAAGTTTCGGTTCCTAAAAAAAGGAACTGTCTAAAAAACCGTGGGTCCGGTTCTTAACGAGAACCGAATATCCCTAGTAGAGTGTGCGATCACCTTAAAATATCCAGTACACTTTTCGCATCAATTTAAGATGTGTTCAGAGCTCTGGAAATATTTTGGTTCGAAAACTGTAGGGGAATCAAAATACAGAAAAATTATGACAGAATCACACCGTGATAGCCGACTTACGCGGTTTGTCATGTTCGATATGAACAATATAGAACCGAAATCTTTCACGTGACATATCGGTTTTGAAGAAAACAAGAAAAGTAGAAAAAGAACATACTTTAAATCGACCAACATAATAAGTTAAAGTGGTAAAATTAATTCATGCGGCACCCCTCTCCTAATGAGAATAATCTAACATAAAATATCCTGTTGTGATACATCAACCCAGAACTTCCACCTGGCGGAACACTTGGTCGTTCTGGAGGTAACGATTCCAGTGTTAATGATAATCACTCTACTTACGTCTGTCTCTTCCATTCTTCCCTTGCTTGATGACGAAGACGTTGCATTTCTGTTCTATATTTCACCGTCATGATACTTGAAAATATTACTTCCAACTAAGGTCTGTTAACTAACCGCTTGTCATAAACCCACTTTCAGTCAAGAGTCAGTGAATCGCAGATGGACGTTACTAGTTTATAATTGAATTTCGACGTTTTGGTAATTTCAATGACCATTCTCACGCAAAAAGACCCAATGTTTATTTATCTAGATTCATCTTCACGTGCATCTAGATGCATGTGAGGATGAATCTAAATAAATAATCCAAAAAATTCGATCTTGCTTGGGTTTTCAAGAACAATATCACATGGCAAGTAAAAATCGTTTTCAGTCCTCCATTAAGACCGAAAAATCTATTTATATTCATCGTATCGTATTTATGCTAAATTTGGAAAAAAATCTAAACATGATGTCGTTTAATGGCGTCGTTTTGTTGACGACACATTTGTTCTAATAAAAAAGTACATGGTCATCGGCATATTACAACAAATCCTCTATGATTTTCATCTCCTATCAAATTTACTTGTGAACAAGAAAATGAAAACTAGAATGCAGTTGTGCTGCGCACAAGTTGCGATGTCGAGAGACACTGGTTAACAGAGGCAGCGAGATCATCAAAAAATGTGCTAGACACTGCTCAAACAATACTTAAATATCTTCAACAATATTAAAATACCTAAATGCTGGATGGAGTTGAGCCTGAAAAAGATACAAAAGTGAAATATAAAAAATGTGGACATTACGACTAGAGATGTTCGGTTCTTGGTTCTCGTTAAGAACCGGAACCGTTTATGTTTAAGCAGTAACTTTTCACAGTATCGATCAGTAAGAAAAACAGCACTCAGACACTTACCGACTATTAGTTACCGACTATTAGTCCATGAGCTTTAAGGAAATTCAATACTACGGGCGAACCATGGAAAATCGAGTTCTTACTAGACTTTCCTTTTAAAGAACCTACCGTACACTTATACAAAGACGACAGTTCGAGCTAATTGTTTCCGATGTAAGAAGAGCACTATACCATCACTTTAAGTTTCAGAGGAGCAGAATGGTTTTCAAAGCCCTACTTCGAATAAAGACTGTTTAACCACTCTTGTTTTTGAAAAGTCGTTCCTAGTTCTCTTTTATTGAATAGTGAAAACTATCAGACTGCGACTTCTTCTTCTTCAATGAAATGTTATTCAAAAAATATCCATACGTTTTCTATTTAGAAACGGATGACATTAACTAAAACAAGAAATGTAACCTTTTTAATTGTCATCATCTTCATCATCAATACTCATTTTAGATTCAGACTTTATTGAGATGTCAAAATTTTCGTTTATCAGTTCATTTCCCAACTGATACACCCACCTCTTTAATTGAGTCTCTCAGTAAGAAATTAAAATTGTATCCCAGATGGGACGATACAAAAGAAAATACTTGTATTTACCAAGGCTAAATGAGACATTTCGTTTTTATTTACGAACCTGAAAGAAAATAATACAATGAAACCTTTTTATTTGTGTTTGTAATTTAATAAAACGCAAAGTTTTATATCGGTTTGAGAGCTGAAACAAACGTTCTCGTCTCTGTGTTTTAAAAGAAAATTGTAATAACAACACAACAAGGAAATCACTTGAAGTTGTTGATTTAAGTTTATAATCAGTAAAAATCTCAATCATAAGAGTTTACTATCTCGAATTCCATTAGATGTATTGGAGATAAATTGT